ACTTGCAAGGCTGCTGATGAAAATCTAATGTTCTTTGGAGCATTTGAGAATTACAGCTGAATTGAAGGGTCTCAACTTTTGAGAAACAGAAGCATCAGATTTCTCTCTCCCATCAATGTTTTCACAGTATTAAAAAGAAACAACAGTAATCTAGTATGGTATTTGAAAAAGAAATACAGAAAAGAGGTGCAGGGAACAACTAGGTATGTAGATATATTAGTTTAATAATTTTGTTTCCATCTTTAATATTATTGAGAAGAAAAGTATACAGCATTTTAAAAGACATAAAATTTATCCCGATCCAACTTTTAAAAATATTTTATCATTCAAACTTCAATAATCAGTTTATTTTACTATTATAGCATTGGATGTATGCTACAACTAGATTAGAAAAGGAGCTGGTGCACATAAAGGCCTAGCAAATTTTTGATATAATTTTCTTTTTTTTTTAATCAATATTTTTTTATTATGATATTGTGGGGTACAGTTATAATTTTCAAAGCTGGATTATTATCTGTCCTTCCCTCCTTCCTTTCTTCCCTCCCTCCTTTCTTCCTTCCCTCATATTACTATCGATCAATCAATCTACCTATCGATCCACCTATTGATCTATCTGTGTGCATAACCAAACACTTCTATATAAGCAGAATTGTTTGGTGCTAATGTGGAGTAGCTGGAAACTGCATGTATACCTTTAGATATCCAACAGAAATGAATGTTAGTATCCACCAAAAAGACAAGTGCAAGAGTACTCATAGCCAGAAAACTGGAAAAATAATCACTACATCCATCAACAGAATGGATAAAAAAACAAAACTGTAGCATATTCCTAGGAAATAGTTAAGAATAGGAGATTACTAGCACCAAAAATCAGTCACAAAAAACAAGTACACACCTGCACGTATGTGTATGTGCAAGCGCATGTGCATTTATGGTTCTATTTATATTCAATTCAAAAGCAGACAAACCTAATCTACAATGATGTAGGTCAGAAAAGTGATTACCTCTGTTGGTGTTATTACTGAGAGAGAGAGAGAGAGGGAGACACCCCTGGAGTGCCAAAAGCATTATATATCTTGATCTGAGTAGTGGGTACAAGAATACTCACATGTGTAAACATTTGAGCACGTTCCTGTGTGTAAATTATACCCCAATTTATTTATTTATTATTATTCTTCTTTAAAGATATATCATGTGGCTGTTCATTTCACATTTAGAATCCAGGCAGAGTGGTAAATGCCTTTACCAATGGGATTGCTGTCTACTGGTCACCTCTATCCTTTTTTACATGACCACTGTCTCACACACTTAAGGCTCCCAGGCCTGGTGCAGTGGCTCACAATTTATACCTCAATTTTAAAAGTTGTGTTTTTTTTTAACGAGTTTGACCTTAGATTTTGTCACAAGAGGAAGAAACATTTCAGAAGTACCTTGAGACAATGAGAAGTTGTCTAAAGTATAATTGTGAGTAGTCATAAAAAGTCAAATAAACTAAAAGTTCTATTCCAATTGCAAACATTTCCAATAAATGTTTAAAGAAGACACCATTATGAAGTGGTTCACTAAGGTGTAAACCCAACATCTCCAAAGCCAGGCCCATCACCTCTTCTCTGTTCTCTATTTCCTCCTCCTGCCTTCTGCATCTCCAGTAAGGTTTTGTCATTCATTCATAACGACTTAAGCCAGAAACCTAGGGACCATCTTCAACTCCTCCCCATCTCCTATCAAATTATTTCCAATTCTAATTTCCAAGAAATTGAGGTCTCCTTTCATTCATTCTACCATAGCCAAGCTGCCTCCTACTAGTCTCTACCTCCTTGCTGAACTATTCTTTTCAGTCTGGGCTTGATCATATGATCCCTCTACTTGGAATTTTCAGTGACTTCCTGTCACTTTAGGAATGGATACGAACTTTTTTCTTTTGTCTCTCTTTAGATAAAAAAAGTCTCACTCTATCACCCAGGCTTGAATTCCTTGACTCAAGTGATCCTCCTGTCATTCTCCCAAGTAGCTGAGATGTTGGGATTACAGGCATGCACCACCATGCCTGGCTACTTTTTTTTTTAAAAAAAAAGAGATAAGGTCTCGCTATACTGCCCAGGTTGATCTCAACTCCTGACTTCAAAAGCTATCCTTCTGCCTCCGCTTCCCAAAACACTGGGATTACTGTTGTGAGCCATTGCACCACCCTGCAGATCCAAACTTTTAGACATGGTATATAAGATTCTCCCAGAAAAGACACCCACCCACTTTTCTGCCTTGTCTTCTTACACCACTAACTGGCACACTGTCATGGCCTCTGTGCCTTGTAAACACTTTCCTCTGCTCTCTACCTTCCAGCCCCTGTGGTTTCTATCACACCTCAAAACAGCTAAAAGTGGCACAACAGCATGTAGGAGACCTGTGCTCATGCTCTGTGCCTCAATGCCCCCTAAAGGTGAGTGATTGACCATCCTTGTGTGTGCTGCTACACACTGCTCTGAGAAGTTAATGGCATTTGCTTGTTTTACTTCACCATGCACCCACTGGACTATGAGTTGTGTCAGGAAGGGGACCACACTGTTGATGGTTTATCTTCGCTGGCCAGCAGAGTCTGTACCACAGTCATTGCATGATATATATTTTGTGAATAAATGATCAATAACAATAACATATATATAAAGCCCATATTGAAACTTAAGCTACTAGGAGTATAAAAGTCTATTTCTGTCCTTGTCTCAGACCTCTGGTGCTGCTAGCCTAAAACCGGTTATGGGCCTTACTGATGATCAGTGGCAAAAAATGTTGGGTAATGGGGAGGCTTGAGTAAAAGTTCTGGATCAATGCAATGGAGTAAAACCATAACCACTGCTGGAATACTCAACAGTGGGATGAATTGCAAGCACTCTCTCCATTTTTAAAGAGACAGGAGTAGCAGAATTACCCAGAAACCATGATGCTCACACCCCTCCATTCTGAGTAACATGTAATGTCTGAGGCCTTCACATTCACTCACCACTCATACAATGATTCACCCAGTTCTGCAAGCTCCATTTATGCTAAGCCCTATACAGCTGTATACATCTTTTTATTTTATACTGCATCTTTACTGTATCTTTTCTATATTTAGATATGGTTAGATACACAAATACTTCCCATAGTGTTGCAATTGCCTGCGGTAGTCAGTACAGTAACTGAATACTGTACAGGTTTATGTAAATATACTCTACAATGTTTTCACAAGGACAAAATAACTTAGCAACACATTTCTCAGACTGTATCCCCATTGTTAAGAGACACATTACTCAGCCTTACATTCTCTTTTGGCAAGGTCAAATTACAACTAAGCAGTGAGTCAAATTTTTATGATACCAAGTTATAAGTTACAACCTCTTGATCATGTCTCTCAGAATTTAGCTTCTCTTGATCTGCCTCAAAGATCAGGCTAATTGATTGCTAAACAATAACCATAGCTACCATTTACTAGGAGCTTATTATGTGTCAGGAATTATGCTGATTAATCAAATCATTTTTATGTGCTTGGTTGTTAAAGATCTCATCTAAAAAACACCTTATTCCATCACTCCAACCACTTGGTAATTCACATTTATGTTCCAAATAAATTATTAGGCTTAGCTTATAAAACACTGAAGTCAAAAGCATAGAGATTTTTGGTCAAAAATATTGTCTTACATACCTTCACAAAAATTAGATCAATATTTAAAAATATAAACTGTAGCTTAAAAAATATTAACAGTAGAAACTCATTATTTTTAGGAATATGTATAAAGTTCTTTAAAGGAATGGAACAATAATAAAAATGTAATTCTGTAACTTGCTCTACCTCTTAAGAGAGAAACAGGGTACTCTGTGAAGCATCTCAAAAACAAAGAAGAAATTAGCAAAAGCAGGACATACATATCAAATGTCATTACTTTGTCCATCTTTTCTAAACACAAATACATACTGCTTAGAAGTCATCATGTAAATGATCAGATTCTCCATGGACTCCCTTTTTATTTATATTATAATACTAAAAATAATTCAGGTCTCTTAATCAAGTATTTGTTCTGAATATTATTCTTACAAATGTACATGGTATGACAACTATCAAAACATAAAACATCCCATTTAAAAAATAAGCAAAGGCAAGCTGAAGTATAACTAAAAATATTATTTATTTTATTCTTTTTTTTAAATTTAGGACTTAATAAATTTTAGCAGACACAATTATTTCTGCCAAAAATCAATAACAATAATGAACATCACTGTTACAAAAATCATGTTAAAACTAATGTGAAAAGTATGAGTAAAGACTGCACAGTGACACAAAAAAATAAGAACTAAAACACAAAAATGAGTAGAAATACACAAGAGAAAGAAGGAGAATATGAAAATCTTTTCATTGAACATACTACTATAAGAATGAAGTTTATATGCTCATTTCTGACTGCAGCTATAACTTGTGCTATCTCTAAAATACATTTGAAAGCACAGACCCACTCTTGATATTCAGGTGGGAAATACTGGAAAAACCATAGAGAAATAGGTTTAATGAAAGGAGAGACTGCAGGTACTGACAGCCTGGACTGCCATAGGGCACTAACGATGCTCTCAAGGAAGGCAGGGATTGAAAGGAAGGGGAGTAATGTCACCATTTATGCCCTATTCAACTGTCATCCCAAGGCAATTCTGATTCCCTAGTCTCCATCAAATGGCCCGTCATTCAAAACAGCGGGGGAATCCTGAGTTCTACAACTTCCACCATCTATAATGGCAAAATTATATGATCATGAATACTCCTAAAATTCTAGCTCAGCAAATGTGGACCACACTGAATCTGATGTGTATTTTCCATTACTTGATCAGACCACAGAAAATTTTAAAATTAAGGTAGAGCTCATTTCTCTCTCTCCAGACTTTTTCCCTTCATAGATTTGTCATGAAGCTGCTGCTAATATCAACAACATTTTTAGAATAACAAAAGAGGAAAATACAATACAACTAACAAAATGTCATACCTGGTGACACTTCCTGTTGTTCCTCTGCAGGGGTAGCACTTACATCTAAAATAAATAATAAGTTATAATTCATTACATAGTGCTGACCAGTGTTTAAAATATGGATTGCTACATTTAAGTTATGGCGATTACTTTTACAGACATTTTAAAAGAAATTCAATAGTAATTACCATGAAAACATCAGGTTTTTACACCCTTCCAGCGAATTAACTGCAACTCAGCAAAATACTGCCTATTCAACATTATCAGCCTGACTAAACTCAAAACTTCATTGCCTGGCAAAAGAGATACAGACTAAAACCTAGGTATTCACCATAATTTTTACATCAGACTTGATAACAGAGCTGTATGTATTCTTTTGAGAAGTGTCTATTCATGTCTTTTGCTCATTTTTTAATGGGGCTGTCTGTTTTTTTCCTTTTAGCACATTTGAGTTCCTTGTAGATCCTGGAGGTTAGACCTTTGTCAGACATATAGTTGGAAAATATTTTTTCTCATTCTGTGGACTGTCTCCCTGCTCTCTTGATGGTTTCCTTTGCTTTGCAGAAGCTTTTCAGTTTAATGAGGTCCCACTTATCTATTTTGTATCTCTGGGGTTTTGATTGGGAATTGGTTGCCTACCCTGATTTCTGTAAGGGTGTCTCCAGCATTTTCTAAGATTCTTATAGTTTGAGGTTTTACATTTAGGTCTTTGATCCATTTGGAGTTGATTTTTGTGTATGGTGATAGGTAGGGGTCCTGTTTCATTCTTCTGCATGTGGCCAACCAGTTTTCTCAGTATCATTTACTGAATAGGTTCTCTCCCCAGAGGTTGTTGGTGGAGGCTTTGTCAAAGATGAATTGGTTGAGAAATTGAGGTTTCACTTCTGGAATTTCTATCCTGTTCCATTAGTCTATATGCCTGTTCTTGTACCAATACCAGGCTATTTTGATTATTGTAGCCTTGTAATAAAGTTTAAGTCTGGAAGTGTGACACCTCCCACTTTGCTTATTTTGCTGAGGATTGTTTTGGCTATTCATGGTCATTTATGTTTCCATATGAATTCTTGTATTGTTGTTTCCAGGTCTGAGAAGAAGGATGTTGATAATTTAACAGGTATTATGATGAGTCTGCAGATTGCCTTGGGTAGGATAGACATCTTAACAATTTCAATCTTCCATATGACCCAGCAATCTGCCTTTTGGGAATATACCCAGAGGAACACAAATTGTTCTACAAAAAAAGATACCTGCACACACATGTTCAGTGCAGCACTAATCACAATAGCAAAAATATGGAGCCAACTATGCTGCTCATTGAAAGTGGATTGGATAAAAAAAAAAATGTAGTACATGTACATGATGGAATATTATGCAGCCATAAAGAAGATCAAAATTATGAACTTTGTAGCTACTTGGATGTATTTAGAGTCTATCATACTTAGTGATCTATCACAGAAACAATTCACTGAGTACCACATTTTCTCACTCAGAAGTATTTCCTGAACACTACCATAAAGGGATTGGCAATAGTGGGACATTGCTGGCGGGGGGAATGGGGAGCACATAACATCAACCAGGGTAACTGATCCCAAAGCAGACAAAGTGAGGACCAATGAGAGGCCAAAACTTCAGCTGCATGATGACCACTTATATACCTAATCCTGGATTGAACTCCACATCTTTAAAATATAATAAATAAATGAAAAAATAAACATTTAATATAAATAAATAAACTATTATATCAGTTTCTTTTTGCTCTTTAAGAACTATAATAGGCTTTTTGGTTAAAAGGAGGAATTTCTTAACAGCATTTTCTAAGAGAAAATATTTATGTAGCTATTTAAATCAATTTTCTTCTTGCATTAATTTGCTTCTAATTATAAAAGTGACATGCTCAAAATAGAATATTCAGAAATATTTTACATAAAAATGAACAGAAACAGAGACAAAAATCACACACATCCCCACTAACTTCTCTTAGTATTCTGCTTATTTCCTTTTGATAGTGGCAATACAGTCACTGGTCAGTACTTTTCTGTGTTGCACCTGGCTTAGTAATAGGTTTGTCTATTTATTTTGTTCTTAATTATTGAGAGACATATTAGTACTTTACCAACTTTGCCAATATTTTTCTCAGAATTTCTTTTACTTTTGTAATTTTAGACAACAACTGCCAGTTAAACTTTCATCTAATTTTATTATGAAAAAATATACATTTGACAAAGCTCATCTGAAATTTATTTTGGATATGATATAATAGGAAGATTTCTAAAATTGAAATAGTGAATTAATTATATCAGTACAACTTGAAAGAGTTACCTGCCTTATTTATACAGCCTATTTTTCTTTAAGACTTTTTGAAACCACCTCATTCAGTGTGGCTTTCACTCCCACCAATTTACTCAGCTTTTGGGTAACGGTGCTAACAATCTCTAAATTGTCAAGTGTATCTGATACATCTCAGGCTTGAAATTCTTGGCCACTCAGTAGCCTGTATTCCCTCTTTTCCTTCTGTTTCTTCTCTTCTCCACTGGTTTTCCTCCTGACTCTATGGCTGTTCACCTTCCATCCAACCCCAACAATGCTGGGGTCCTGGAAGCACAGACCTGTGCTCATTGGTTTCTATAGATTTAATACCAACTCCATGGCAATGGCTCCCAAATGTTGATATTCATTTTAGATCTCACTCTACTGGTTCAGATTGGCATATCTAATTCCTTACTTGATAACTCCACTTGGATAGCTCACATAAGTCCCAGATTTAAAATGCTTCATATGGAGCCTTGTATTTTCTCCCCTAAACAAATTTTCTCTATATCCTAATTTTTTTTTCTTCTCAGTCCACATCAACTGATAGTTACTCAAGCCAAGCCAAAGGCTCCTTTATTCCTCCTCTCTGCTTCCCAACCACCAGAAAGGTCCATTAATTTTAATTCTCAAATATATCTCAAGTTCAGCACCTTCTCCTGCATTCCCACTGCTATGCTTTTACTCTAGGCCACAACAATCATTTCGCTGGATTAGTACACAATACTTTCCTAAGAGGGTGGTCTCCTCTTCCACACTTGCTCCAACTAACCCATTATTTTAACTAGAAGTAGAAATAGTTCTTTGAAACATATGTCAGATTATGCCATATTTCACAAATATTCCCATGAATTTACACTATGCCTGGAATATAATTTAAAGCCCTAAGTATACTTTTCAAAGGCCCTGACTGATCTGTGCCCATCTCTTTATTGTTTAAGTCAGTTTGAGTTTGCTATTTTATTATCTGCAACTGAAAGTAGCCTTACTGACACAGTCGGAGAATTAACAGAAGGGTTTAAACCCAGGACTGATGCAATGAGAGTTGTACTTTTGGATAGACCATCCTAATAGCATGTGAAAGACAGATTTAAAGAGGATACATATTAAGTCAAAAGGCAAATGAGGGTTAGGCATTGTGGCTCACACCTGTAATCCCAGCACTTTGGGAGGCCTAGGCAAAAGGACTGGTAGTGCCCAGGAGTTTGAGACCAGCCTGAGCAACACAGCAAAACCTCATCTCTACAAAAAATAAAAAATTTAGCCAGGTGTGGTGGTGTGCACCTGTAGTCCCAGCTACTTCAGATGCTGAGGTGGAAAAATTACCTTGAGCCCAGGAGGTCGAGGCTGCCGTGAGCCATAATCATCATAATGCCACTGCATTTCAGCCTGGGCAAAAGAGTGAGACCCTGACTCAAAAAAACAAAAAGTCCAGCTAGAAGGCTACTGCCATTACCTAGGAAGATGAGAAGGCACTGAGCCAGATCATTAGTACAAGAGCTACAGAGTAAATAATATATTTGAAACATATTTAGGAAGTCTATTAATAGGGCTTGGGATTAGACATAGAGACAGAGAGAGAGGAGAACTCAGTCATTACTCCCATGTTTCTGGTTTGGGAATCCAAGAATATACTGATGGAACCAGCCAAGATAAAGGGAGATGGGGAAGAAGAGGCTGGTGGGTGTGAAGATGCACTCCCCCTCACTGTCTAGCCAGGTGCTACAGGAGCCTAGTATAGAAGCTATGGGGTGGGTGGCAGGTACATAACCTGGTGCCCCACTGTCTATCACATGGAATTCCTTTAGCAGTCTCTGCATTCTCCTGTATCAGCTTATCAAAATGCCTAAAAGTCTTAAGAACACAATGTATTTCTAACCCAAGAAATGCAGGGTCAAATTGCATATTGTGATGTTAGTCATTTTATAGAGAACCCCACATGTGGGGTATGTTGGATGTTCTTCCTGGGGATTTTAGGTTTCCATTTTCTTATTCTCACTGAATAAATATACAGACTCAGCTGTAGTCTTCAGAACGTTAGTATTCCTCACAGAGAATTGCTTCATGGGAGGTGGAAGAAAACTCTACCATATTCAGCCCCACCACAGGAAATGAATCCCGCTTGCACTCAGGGGGCCCACGGTATCTCTGCAAGGGTCTCTCCCATAAGCTAAGAGAACAAGGAGGGCAATTTTAGTCTCCCTTACACCCTCCATACTTATCTTCCCCAATTTTAGTAGAATGTACCAATTCGTTATCCATTCCACCTAACCAAGCTTAAAAAAAAGTAACATATTTAATATGAAAACTAACAATTAGCTGCTCCAAAATGTATTCTAAGAACAATTCTATGAGCAAAATTTTCTCTAGTACATGCTCCCTGTGGCAACCTGCAGTTGTTAAAGCAACCCCCCCCCCCATGCAGAGTCAACTGTAGGCCCTATCCTGGGTCAAACACCCACTTGGCCACTGACAGCCATGGTACACTGGGCTAATCGGTCACCTGACCTCACTCTAGTTTTGGGTCTTCATTTGTAAAATAAGTACAAAGACCTCTGCCCTACCTCTTTCTCAGTGTCTTCTGTGAGGAACAACCAAAATATCATATGTGAAAGAATTTTGTGAACTGTTAAGAACTATGTAAATCTAAGTTGCGTTGAAGCACCACTATTTCATGTATGTGACTGTTTGTATTTCTCAGAAACCATCCTTCACTTGCAAAAATATGTTGTTTTGTCTTCCCACCTACAAAACAACCTAAAGGACCCAGTTTTCAACCATCTCTGCCACAGTTAACCCCTTCCTACCAGATTGCACCCTCATAGGTCGTCATCCACCCCTATTTAGAGTACCCCTCTGTACCCTCATCAGTTGTTTTCTGTTACAGTATCCAGCTTTTATCACCATCATCGCACTTTTCACAATCTTATTTATCATCTGTTTGGCCACTGGAATGCCAGCCCCAATACAAATAAGACTTCTGTCTGTCTTCATCACTCCTAGTTCCTGAGCACTGTATAGATAGCATGCAGGAAATGCTCAATAAATACTTGTTACATAAATGAACATTCTTTCCATATGTAAAGTAACACTATTTCTATAAAATTAACTTACCTTCTGAAGTTATGTTTGAGTCTTCTACAGCATTGTCTTAAAAGAAAAAAGAAAAGCAAACACAACTTACATTAACTCAACTCCACTCAGATCCCCAAATTAACACAGATCCACCCACTAATCTAAATTTGGCTTTTGAGACTGGGTTTCTGATGGAAAGTATTTATACTGGAATATCCTTCAATTCTCAATAATTTTCTGGGTGACCTGAAAAAGCCTCTACCAAGCTAAAAAACAAAACTACCCTTTCTTACCACATTAATTATTTGTTTAACACGTTTTAACAGATACAAGGGGGTGCTGATTTACAAAAACATCCATTTACAGAAAAAACAAAAAACAAAACTCACCTGAGACTTCTATTCCTTCTGTTTCCGGAGGTTCATATACTACTAAAAAGAAAAGAAAACAAAACAAAACAGAAAACTCAGAAAAATAATCTTTTAGTATTGCATAATTTTCATTATATCACAGAAACTGACAACATGCTTCAAGGTCAAGACAATGTCTAACCTATCTTTAATCTATAGGTTTAGTTAAGCAAGATGGGGAATAATTTGGTAACTTTTAGAGTAAAACAGGCCTGGGTTCCAGGTCAGTCACTTGTGCGACTTTTTAAAAAGTTCTTCCTATCTATAGTGTAAGTTTTAAGTTAATCAAAGCTCTACACTGCTTATCACCGGGATCCCAGTTTTCACCAGGCAGATTCCCTGCTTTGTTTATAGAGCAATTTTCAGACCTTTAACCTGGGGCAAACACTCCTGCTGCCAGTCTCTGAGAATGAGGGGTCAGCTGGCAGGCCCTCAATTCCCCACTCTGACGAGGGTGCACCCACCCTTTCCTTTTCTCATCCACTGGCATGGGGCTTAGCACTCCTCTTTCTACTCTACTGCAAAGGCAGTTCACCTTCTCCTGGGCCCAGTGGGGCACAACATTCTCGGTCAACCCGAGCTTCCAACATAGATCCCATTATCTGGTATACAACTGCAAACTTTCTGATTTTCCCAGTATGGCTGTAAGTTTGCTCCTTTTAATACAGTTAACAAAGAAAAAGGATTGAACACCAATTTTTAGACATTATTCTCAGTTTTGGGATATAGCAGTGATCAATTTTTAATATATCCCTTTGTCCCTTTGGTGGCATTTGGAAGCCAAAGGAACAGTGAATGTGTGCTCAGTGTGTCAACCTGAGCAGCATCAGCATGTAAACATACTCAAGCTTCTACCAAGCTAAAAAACAAAACCACCCTTTCTTGAGCTTGCTTCCGCTTGTCCTCTCTTTCCTTCACTTCACAATCTAATTTCTCCAAAGGGTCATTTACACTTGATGGCTCATCTCTGCTTCCCTCCTCAACCCACTCCCACTGTCTTCATTCCTGACCATACCCCTAGACAGATTTCTGCTGAGACCACCATTTAATCTGATAGAATCTTCCCAGCCCTTATCACAGCAGGTCTTAGCAATACACCTTTCTCAAACAATATTGTCCCTGGACTTCAGTGTGACCACACTCTCCTGTTAATCTTTCGTTTCTCCTTCTCTATCTTCTCTTTCACTTCATCTTTCTCTTAGCAGGCGTTAAATGCTGGCTCTACTCAAAGTCCAGCTGTAGAACCTCCTCTCATGCCCCTCTGGCCTCTCCTTAAGAGATCTCAGAATACTCACAACCACAAACTAACTAGGCTTCTCTTCGGAGAGCCAAACACCACCAAATGGCTTATTTGATCTCCCCTCATGGATGTCTCAAAGACCTCACAGTCAACATGTATGGGCCTAAACTCATGACCCCCCCCCCAACCCTGTGTTAGAAAAAGAGCACCCGTAGACATCAAGCTATACAACCAGAAGAGTGGTGTGGCTCTTGGCACATTGGTCCCTCCCCTCAGCTGCATCCAAACACCAGGCTTTGTCAATTTTACCTTCTAAACATTTCTCACCTTTATCCTCTTCCCTTCACCTAGTTTATATTACTGTCAACCCTGCCCAACCTGTCCACTGAAGCAGTTCTTGCTAAAGTCACCCACGAGGCCACTGCAGCACCAGATCAGGGGCACATTTTCAATGCTTATTTCATGTGGCTCTTGGAAGCACCACTGAACACCTCTTTCTTGAAACTCATAGCCTTTGACTCCTCATAAGGTAGAGATGTGACCCAGGGACAGATCAGATTAGGATGACTGCCGCAACCTAACTGGCATTCCAGTGTCAACTCTAGTCTCCCTCCAGTCTGCTTGCTGCCTGTCAGACTGATCAATCTTTTCAAAATGCAGATCTGATTTGGTAGTGCCCCTGCACAGCACTGCAAGGTGAAGATGAATGTCTTGACCTTGCCTATTGGCATCCTCCAGACTCCGTCCATCTCTCCACCTTAGCCCTGACTCACTTCTCTTGTAAGCTCACCTCAGAGACTTCACACAGTGGTCCAAACACCTTTCCCCTTGCCTTGTCAGCTGTTCTCACCATCAACTCAAACTTCAGGAAGGCCTTGCTGCATCCACAAACTAGGTGAGGTCTCTTTATTGCGCACACTTGCTACACACTGTACTTGTTCTTCCCGGAACTTATCACAACTGTAATGGAAGACTACACTGAAATCACTTGTTTAATTTCTATCCCTCGCTGAAATGTAAGAACCATGAGGATCTAGTTCATGTGTCTGCTCCAGTGTCTTATGTTTTGGACACAAGATACTAAGTAAATATGTAGTGCCTGAATAAATAAATAAAAGGTGGGGAGACTATATACTGTCACCTCCTAAGTTTGCGCATTAGTAAGCAAACTTAGTAGGCTGGATGCTTTCTGGGATATCTTTGATGTGGAAAGCTGGTTCCTGCTGCAGTTTTATGAAACCATGTGATTTCCAGGTTCTGAAGACCGGAGTTTGATTCAGAATATATTCTGTTCTTCCACTGAAATACAGTTTTGTTTTCACCCTGATTAAAATTTCACTTAAATGACAGTTACTTGGTGTCCCTCCTCTGCTTCCTGAATTTCTAGAAAGGTTTTGTTTGGTTGTTTTTGAATATAGTGAATAATCTTCTGTTCAATTAGATCTATTTTGTTTGAAAAAAGTTTATGTTCTTTAGCAAGGAATTCAAATTCAAAAATACTTACCAAATCCTGATGATTCCTTAGATCATACTTATTACTTTTTGTTAACATTTTAAATTTCATTTATGATGATACTCTGCCTATGAAAACATATTAATTTTTACTACATCCTTTTTAGTATAGTATCTAATTTTATGCTTCTTATAAGCCTGACTTTAAATTCCTCTGCTTGTAAATGAACATACAAGGTCTACACCAAGCCATTTCTAATTTTCTTCAATTGTGAATCACCAGATATCATGAAACTATAAATTTCTTGAAAGAAGGAACATTATGTAACTCATATTTGAACTTCAAGCCCTAAAACCATCTTGAACATCAAAATTCCTCCATATTCAACTCAATCGTGCCACATTTCTTCATCTTTCTTGCTTTATACACCAAGTTACACCCAACTGACTTCTTTCTTTCATCTTCGAAGATAATGGAATACAGAGGATATATTGGCTTTATCGTTTTTGAGTTATACAATCTTTGGCAAATTATTTATATTCTCTGAATCTTATTTCTCTTATCTGGGAAGCAAGGAAAATATAATCTACTTCATGGAGTTCAAGAAAATAGTATACAAATACTTAGACACAGAAAAGCCACAATGGCCCAAATCTGAATCAGATGCTGCTCATGCCACAAATCTGCCAAAAATATTTTCTCCATGCTGCCTTTAAGTCAAAAACCCAATTCTTCTTAACCTTTCCCAAGGTGGCAAATCAGCCATCTTTGAGAATGGGATTAATTTCTATAAGCAAGTATAGTAGTTAAATTATGACTAAAGCAGTTGTTCACGTACATTTTAGTCAAAAGAAAGAGAAGACTAAAAAGTAATGAGATCAGTTTTCTAGAATGATTTGTAACTGCCTCTTAAGACAACTTATAAAGAGTTTAAAAATTTATTTAGGCAATGGTAGAACTACTGGAATAGGTAGACAATCTCCCCCATGTGAATTATTTGAATACTACCATTCATTTGAATGCTTTACGTTATTATATTTATAGCTGAAGACATAATTCTTTACGTTTTAAGCTATTAGTATATTTTAAAACAAGTAGGTGGCTTAAGACTAAGAAGCATTTCCAAACCTTGTTCATCATAGTCTTGGTATGTTACATCGTCTGACAAAAAGAAAAAGAGAAAAAAGACAAATCAATAAGTATTAAATGAATCATTCTGCATACTGCCTCACTAAAATTCTTTTTTAAAAAAACCTCAAACACAGAATTCTACTCCTTTAAACACTAACATCTACACAATCAATAATAAATGCCTCTGCCCAAAAGCAGTTAAAGGGCAGGTAAATTATTTTCAGAAAAATTCCTCAAACTAGCACAGAGTAAGATACACAAAACTAGTGTTAGAATTTAACATCCTGTTTTGTTATGGAGCCATTAGTAGATCAGGTGAAACATGAAAGCCTGATATCCTTTCAATAACTTACTTTTTGTTACAAGACAAAATTTCATGTATTAGGTGTTAACATTACTTATTTGATCCCTTTTTGAAAATTACCATGTAAACACAGTACCACAATTGAAAAACTTTTAATAACATACCTGTGTCATGGTGCAATTTTTCATCGTCTACAACTGGTTCACTAGAATCTAAAAAAAAACCCAAAAATACACCTTTGTCAAACATAAAAAAATCAAACATATCTAAAAAATTAACAAATTAATTCTAATCTTTACAACATTGCAAGACAGACATTGTCATTATCATTTAATACAATTTCAGCTGAATAATGTTCCATAATTTGAAGTTTAAGTCACAAAGACAAGAAAGAACAGAAGCAGGTTTTCACCCAGCCTGACACTAGTACATCATACTGCTTCCTCAATTTCCAAATATTTTTGCCAACATCTTACCTACAAAGACCAAAATCTCAGGGTGGTTTGAAAAATACATCTTTTTCTCTCATTCCATGCAATATTAAACTATATTTAGACATTTCTATAACTATCTAGGCAATTAAAAATGGTTATAGGTATCATAAAGAGATCTCTGTGTTAAATCAGAGTGAATTATTAAGTCTGAGCTAAAACGGCCTTGGTCACTGCCTCAAACAAAAACATATATCAATAATTTTAACAAGCCAGGCTCGGTGGCTCAGCCTGTAATCCCGCGCCTTTGGGAGGCTGAGGTGAGTGGATTGCCTGAGCCCGCAAGTTCGAGACCCGCCTGGGCAGGTGAGACCTCATCTCTACAATAAATCAAAAAATTAGCCAGGCGTGGTAGCGAGCACCTGTAGTTCCAGCTACGTGGAAGGCTGAGGTGGAAGGAACGCCAGAGCCCAGCAGGTCGAGGTTGCAGTGGCCGGGAGCGGCCACTGCACTCCAGTCTGGGTGAAAGAGTGAGACTCCAACTCAAAAATAATAATAATAATAACAATAATAATAATTTTAACATTCACAAACCTGGACTTTCCTGTTCAGAAATCGCCTCTTCCATATCCTGATTATAGTCTTGTGAAACTATAAATTAGGAAATAATTAGCAAATTACACATATGTCTCAAATGAGGAATAGATGTAATATTCAAAACCAGAAAAGCATACACTTCCTCCTGCCCACATAGTACGCCTTGCCACAAGGTGAGCCTGAGCCCTCACTCAGACCCCATACTGAGTACTCCATATGGCATCTTTCCCTGACTGGAATATATTTCTAGTGATTATAGATATATGTTGGTTTTTGTTTTGTTTTGTTTTGAGTTGGAGTCTCACTATATTGCCCATTCTGGAGTGTAGTGGCATACTCACAGCCACCCGAGCTTCAGCCTGCTGGGCTCCGGCAATCCTTCTGCCTCAGCTTTCCCAGTAGCTGGAACTACAGGCATGCGCTATCATGCCCAGCTAATTTTTTTTATTGATTGTAGAAACAAAGTCTCACCAAGTTGCCCAGGCTGGTCTCAAACCCGCGGGCTCAGGCAATCCACTCGCTTCAGCCTCCCAAAGTGCTGGGATTACAGGGTGAGTCACCAAACTCAGCCCTATATATGTTGCTAAAACAATATATATATACAAGTCCTAGATGCCAGCCAATAATATCATGTGACCCTCAAGCACAGAGAATGGAAAAACTAGCCAACCACACAGCTGACTGAAAGATGATGCGTCCATCTCCTGCATGGCCTTGCCTTCTGGGGACACATGACATGTGATAAAACACCATTTTGACCTTTCATTGATGTCATAATTTAAGGCTACAAAACTGAGTGAGTGGATTGCCTGAGCCCGCGAGTTCGTGACCCACCTGGGCAACTTGGTGAGACCTCATCTCTACATAAAATCAAAAATTAGCCGGGCGTGGTATCGCGCGACTGTAGTTCCAGCTACTTGGAAGGCTGAGGTGGAAGGATCGCCGGAGCCCAGCAGGTCGAGGCTGTGGTGGCCGGGAGCGGCCACTGCATCCAGTCTGGGCAACAGAGTGAGACTCCAACTCAAAAACAAAACAAAACAAAACAAAAACATGCTGTTCCACTGTAACTTTTGAACTAGAAATTCCACTACTGAGAAAGTATCATCAGGAAACAGACTTCAACAATACAAACACCACATTCTTTATATATAGAGATGCATTATAAAAGCAATTATATCACATGTGATATATTAATTTAAAATACATTATTAATATATAATGTATACTATTACATATATATATTTATCATGATGCTCTTTTAAAGGAAAGACTCATTCAATTAAGACAGAATAGTATTAAATGAAAATCTCACCTGTTTCTTCCACATGGTAACTATCCTCAGTTCCTGAAAAAAACATTAGATAGCTATTACTATTTTTATCAAATGATATGTATATATTCTGTAAATGTATATTCTGAAGCTATGATTATTATTAATTTTATTTTAAAAGCAAAGAACTATTCAAATAAAACATGGGCATGTCAATTAAATTCCTCCTTAACACTTTATCTTTCACTAGAATTACACTCTGGAATGTAGTACACATTCTCTTACTTAATCCAATCAACAACCCTACAAGGTTGGGCTGAAGAGAGAGAACAATTTATATAGAGAAACACAGTGACAGAGGGTTAAAAGGAGAGGATGATTTATACAGAGAAACACAGTGACAAAGACTGGACCAGGAAGGTGCTCATTTCTAGTCTACTTCACATCCCACTACGATGTTCTTTTCTCCAGACCTGTCCTATCATTTTCCAGAGGAAAAATACAGTGACTACTGATAGAAATACAAAGGAAGAATGGAAAGTACATGTGTCAATAACTTAACCCGCAGACTCCTGATAGAAAAGATGCTGTCACCATATGATCCTCATCATGCATACTATCTTTCTTTATTTTATTTAACCGGTGTATGAAGTGTAAATATTTTTAATTTCTGAAGACTTTCAGCAAACAACTTTCAAACTGAATAGTCTCCTAAAGATACACAGTGTACAACCTAGGTGGCTATAAGTGATGGCTCAGGCAAGAAGGTAGCCATGGAGAATAGATCTTCATTTTCTTGAACAAGTTAAATTAGAGACACTTTCCAGAGCAAAAAGAATCCCTATGGTTTAAAGCATTTCCACTTTAAATGGTCACCTAAAAGGGTGGGAATGGGCCTTCTGATTTCAGGAAGACATGATTTCCAGTTTTTGTTTTTTCCACTTACCATGTCTCAATTTAAGATGAGGTCAGAAAATAAGGTCACTTCAATTTATGAACTTAGAAGTGTTTGTTCCTACCTCTGATCTGTAACTACTAACCTTAAAAATATCAAATTCCTAATGTTTCCAATTATTTGAGCATCTTAACTAAAATTTGTTGTACAAGTAGCATCTAGATAATCAAAATTCTGAACAGCTGTCAATCTTGCTGAGCCATTTTGGCCAATGTCAGGAAGGAGTAAGTAACACCAGAGAAATGTGGAAATAATTATCAGCATCCCTGCTCAGAAATTATAAACATGTATCACACAAAAATCATAACATAAATGATTTAAAAATGATAAAATACTAGAACTAGTCTATAAATGCCTATTTTCAATGTAGAATACAGCTGAAATCATATACATGTTCAAAATAATTTTATTTGCATTTTTCACAGAAAATTATGCATTATATACAATTCTGTAAATTGGCATAAAAACTAAAACATCACTTATTATTTTTATGGGTGAGTACATTTCCTGCTCTGAAAAACAGGCACAAACATAAGGTTTTGGAAACACATCCACTCACAAATTAGGAGCTGCCTGCTTCCTAAGTAATTTCCTCATATATTAAATACTGTGTAAAGTAGACAAACATACTGTTTCACTACTTTTATGCTTTAAAAAAACAAAGTTCTTGCAACCATTTACCAGCTGTATTATGCAGGATTTTATAAAGTTTCAGAGAAACACAGTCATATTGACCCATATTGACTGTCTATGGCTGCTTTGTGCTACAATAGCAATTGAGTAGTTGCAACAGGGGCATTGTAGACCAGAAAGCCTAGAATACTTACTATCTTGCCATTTACAAAAAAAGTTTGCTGATGCCTGGTACAGAAAATAAGAATTGTGTTCTATCCATTATACCTAGAGTTTGTGTTAGAACAAGAGCCTGTGCTAGGTTATCAAGTCAAATGCTTCAGCAGTGTTTGAATTTCATATAACAAATAGCACCCTAGGCAGGAGAATAAGGTAAAAGTAGTTTGCTTAGTATTTCATTTCCTTTTTATAAGAAATTTATATATTCTGAGTTTCTCTTAAGAGTGCTTTGAATCAAAATCAGGATATTCATTCATTTTAGGAAAAAAAATTCACTTTAATTGAAGATTTAAGCTTCAATTTTAAAAAATGTAGGTAAAAGTTAAATACCAGCTTTAAAGAAGTTTAAGAAAAACAGCAATAATTATAAATCATCTAATATATTTTATCCTGAAACTAAAAAAAAGTGTTCTACCTTCATGAAATGTTTCAGGTTCCAGGGTCTCAAATCTATCATCTACATCAGCTGCTGTAATGAAGTTTTCATCCTCTGGTTGTGGTTCCCCTGGTGGTCCATCCTCTTCTTGTGGTAGATCTTCTCCTTCAATAACGACAACAAACAAAATGACGCCGATATATAGTTATGGCCCATTGTCAGCAGTCAACTGAGATACAGAGCTCCTTTGGAAGGGCTGACACACACATCCCCTTCTGTTGCTTGGCGTTCCCCCACCCTCCTCTGGTCCACTATAGACACCATGTCCACTCTGAAGCTATTTTCCTCTTCTGGCCACATGCTAGTCTGCCTAATCATAAGTACCAGGAGGATAAGTCTCCTCTCGTTAAAATGTGAACTCACCAAGAACAGGGACCTCATATATTTTGCATGCCCAGCACCTAGGCCCATGAGTAGCCATAGGAAGTACTCAATAGATATCTCATAAATGAATACATGAATACACAATTATTAATATACTTGCCTCTTCAATTATCCCCAGGTCAGAGGAAAGGTCACTCTATGGCTTTTTACTGAGAACTGACATGAAATTCCATGTAACAACTTTAAATAACTGTTCAAATGTTCTATAACAATGAACAACTAGCCACCTATCTAAATCATATCCTAGGATAGGGATTTACCTGTATTACACTGTGCATCTAAACATTCCTATTAGCCTTTAAGTTATGCAAAGAGGCCTGCTTTATCTTCTGAGGCTAACTTCTATGACACACCGAGTTGCTCTGTTTCTTTTGTGTAGCTACATTATTCTACTGAGACATGGTTTTGATTATTATTGTATCCCAATGTAACCTGACCTGGCTTCCAGCAGAATATCTCCTATATGTGATACTCTAACTAAAGAACATGAGTGAGATGGACTTGGTTGTGCAGTACAGTATAGGGATTAAGAGTGTCTGTAATCCCGCGCTTTTGGGAGGCTGAGGTGAGTGGATTACCTGAGCCTGCGGGTTCAAGACCCACCTGGGCAATTTGGCAAGACCTCATCTCTACAATAAATCAAAAAATTAGCTGGGCATAGTAGCGCACACTTGTAGTTCCAGCTACTTGGAAGGCTAAGGCGGAAGGATCGCTGGAGCCCAGCAGGTCGAGGCTGCAGTGGCCAGGAACATGCCACTGCCCTCCAGCCTAGGCAATAGATTGAGACTCCAACTCAAAAAAAAAAAAAAAGAGTGTAGGGTCTTCCTGCAGTCCCCCTACTGGGAATATACCCAGAAGAACTTAAATCACACTATAAAAAAGATACCTGCACACGTATGTTTATTGCAGCATTGTTCACAGTAGCAAGAACATGGAACCAACCATGCTGCCCATCAAAAGAAGACTGGATCAAAAAAAATGGTACATACACATGATGGAATTTTATGCAGACATAAAGAAGAACAAAACAATGAACTTCGCGGCAACCTGGATGGACTTAGAGTCTATAATACTGAGTCATCTTTCACAGAAACAAAGAACTGAGTATCACACGTTCTCACTCATAAGCGGACCTTGAACAATCATTTTAATACTATAATAAAAGGACTGGCAGTAGCAGGAAACTGCCAGGAGAGAGGCAAGGAAGTGGGATTGGCAGTAGTGGGAATTTGCCTGGGGAAGGCAGAGGCACACTTCACCAACAAGGATACCTGCACAATGAACATTTATATACCTAACCCTGAATTGTATGCCACATTTTTGAAATAAAAAATTTAAATAAAAAAAAAGGGTAAGGGGTCAGGAATGCATGGCTCTGGATTTAGGCTCTTCCATACCAGCTGCGTGACTGTGGGTACATTAACTACTCTACAAGATTTCCCTTCCATAAGACAGGAATAAATATCTACTCATAGCACTGCTGACTTAAAAAAAAAAAAGCCTAGTTCATGTTAAGTATTTTGGTGTTATCAGTATCATCATGATTACAGTAATAACATTGTTACTATTTCTACTGCTGCTGTATTTCCCCCAAACTGTAGGAAGGAAGGCTTTCTCGGGTGCTTTACCTTTAGTGTGGCATGGGGATGCTCTCAGATGTTACTGAATCAGGCAGGCCCAGTTATGTCTATACTATTTGTTCTCTGTCTTCTCATCATAGCCTGCTATATTGTTTTTTCTTATTTAAGATTTTCTGCTGCTTAGCATTATAATTACCAATTCTAAATCCTTTTGCAAATTGTACCATTCTTGTTCTTTTTGCCATATTCCTTTTTCTTTACTCTGCTTTCATTCTATCCAGAGTCACTCGATGATTTTTACATTAGCAGGGTCTAGCTCTCAGCTGTGGCTATTCAGTGGCAGTGTCCCTGTTTTTAACAAGAAAACCAGCCACATGCTGTACACTATCTTTGAGTCTCCACGTCTCAGGCACTGCTCACTAGACTCGAGGCATTACCCAGCTTTCTGTAGCTGTCCCTGTGAGGTAAGTATTAATATTCCACTTTGAAAGATGAGAGACCTGAGGCCACACAGCTAAAGCATGGCAGAGGCGGGACCTGAATCCAGTCATGAAATGCACCATAATGGGGCAGCAAGGCCACGTTCAGTCTGATAAGATGTTACGTTCAGATGTAGGTGGGAACTACACCATGGCAGAAAATCTACCAAAGGCAGAGACTCCAAGACAGGGATAGGCTTGGCAATTACACAGAAAAGAGAGAAGGCCAGTTTAGCTACAGAAAAGTGATTGGCAGGGAGAAAGAGCCTGGGACCAGATGAAGCACAACTGGCTGGGCCGTGTCAAACACAGGTTGCAGAAGAGCAAGGACTCAAGGAGACTCAGAGGGATGGAGTGGTCACAGCAGAAGCTAGAGTCATGCTGAGGCCCTGGAGAGTCATGATATCAACACCAACAGGAATTGCTGATGGGTTAGATGGGAAGGGAGAAGAGAGAGGAATCAAGGGAAACGCCTGGGCTTTTACCTTAAACAACTAAAAGATAGCAAGGCCATTAACTAAAATATAGACTTGAGACAGGACAATTGGGGGGGAGTCTCACGTAGCGAAGAGCTAAGAGATGGGGAAGAAGCACAAGTTCTGTGTCAGCCATCTTTTAAGTCTGAGACACTGGAAGACATCCAAATGGTAATGTCAAGTATGCATATCAGTAAACCTGGAGTTTAGATAAGTGATCAGAGCTGTAGCCATATATTCAGAAATCACCAGAATATAAACAGTATTTAAAGCCATGGACCATTCAAAGGAGAAAGTCTTGATAAAGGCAATAACAGGTCCAAGAAGGAGTCTGTGGCCAAGAACACAGTACAGCAGTGGATTTCCCCTCTCCTGGCTGGCGGCCCACCATCACTCGCCTCAATCTCTTCCAGGTCTTTCCACCTCTGTCCGTGCTAAGGTGAGCCTGACTGACCATCCCGACTCACTTGGGTTACCAGTCCAACCTCCATCTGGCCTCCCCCATGCAGTCTTTCATCGTTTCCACGCACTACTCATGCTGTAGACAGAACACACAACATTCCTAAACTAGTCCCCAATGGCTTCAACTACTCTTAGAATCAAGTAAAAACACCCTTTTCTCACTCTCCACTTACATGTGCCATGTGCCAGCCACTCCTAGCTACTTTCAGTTCTTCTCTTGCCTCTTGGCCGTGACCGCTGCCAAATTCTACACCAGCCTTCAGCTCCTAACGACGACATCATCTCCTCCAGGAAGTGACTGACTCCCAATTCTCCCCACATCCTAGCAGGCCCCACAGAGCCTCAGGTGTCTCACTGTAACACACTTATCCCATATACTGAAATCACTCATCTACTTAGTCTGCATCTTCCTTGTGTTGGGTTAAGTTAAAAAAACAAAAATGGCTGGAGAAAGGGGAGTCTGAGCTTGCTCACACAGGTCAATAAAGAGACTTCCTGAGCTATGAGGAAGCTGGTAACAAAAGGGCACAGGATCCCCCACCTATAGCAGCCACTGGCAACACACACACACACAACTAGAAAATGTTTTTGTTTTTAAGAAACAATGTTTTTCCATTAGGGCTACCCTTGGATCGCACCAAGCCACAGGGAGTGTTAAGACATCAGGATATTGTCCCCTTCACAATCCCTTCCCGAGTTACAGTTGGGGATCATGCTGCTTTTATCAAAGTATGCTTCAAAAATAGCCTTAGAAAATACTAAAACATTAGTTTCTGGACTCTCATTTAGTGACCTCTACACAGAGCTCTGTGTGAGAGATTTTCTTTCAATCGAAGTGCAGGGAAAATGCTTTATATTGTATTCTCATGTTGTTTTCCTCTCTGGTAATATAACCTACATAATTAAAAGTTTCTCCATCTGTGTTTTGGTGACCAGTAAGCATGAAGTAAAATCTGAAGGTACCCGGGTAACCCAAGACAGCTTGTGTCCCATTTTCCCTCCTCTATGTTCTTCCACCTTATCATTGATGGATCACCGATCTCAATTTGTTTATTCTCATTTATTTTTACCATTTATCTCTTAGATGTATGCAGTAAGCTCTTTTGTAGTGAGGTGGAGTAAAATAAAGTAAGCCCAGTGTTATTTCAGAAATAATACTTGCCCTCTAACTCTGAACAAAATTTTTTTTAAATAACACACCCAATTAACATTTAAATTTTAAAATAATGTCCTAGTCATTTTGTGTAATTAAACATTAGTTGAGAAACTCATGACAAACAGTAGATTTTAATTCATACCATGCTCCGTGTGTAACGTTTCATGGAGAAGGGACTGAATTTGTTCTTTTACTTCATCTTCGATAATCTGGGGTTCTAAAATAAGTGCAAAACATAGCTGAGTAGAAAAATTCAAACATTAATGCAAAACTGTAATACTCAAATAGTGCATTTGTGCATATACACTAAAATGAATATATTTGGCAAAGCAACTATGTATCCCTTTTATATCAGCTTACCATTTTTTCCTATGTTACACTTTAAATTGGTTTCATTTTGTCAGCAGATATAAACTTTAAGAAGACTTTCAAAAAGAGAAAACTAACTCGGGCTTAGATTCTTATTTTTTTAAAAAGTCTCACAAAGAGCAAAATAACCAGTTTTAAATTTAAAAATTCACACTAATGATGGAATAAAGTGGGAAGACCAAAGCTTTCATAAAGGGAAATACTGGGAAATAGGGATACAAATGTAGAGGACAAGGTCAATGAAGGTGAAAAAATATGGCCAACCAAGGTCTTCCATGACTGTTAGGGGAAAGGACACACCCACTGGTGTGAGGCCTGAGAGTGCTCAGGGCTGACAGTCCACTCCCAGATGTTGTGAGGAAGCACAAGTAGAAGACCTTACGTTGCAACTGACAATCCTTTCAGTTCTGGAGAACCACATCTGACAAGCAAATCCACAGATTCGAGTAAATGTGAATTACAACACTGACTATTAATGATAACATTCCGACAACACTGTGGAGCTTACTGGATTATCAGACTTAACTGCAACATCACACAACAAATAAGAAGCTATAATTACATAGATGCTGCTATAAATTCTCTAATAATCATAATCGATGTTCAGTGACTAAAAGTAGCACCAGACTTGGTACCATAAAGGCTGTTATGTGAGATAATGCCAGTGACATCAGTTAGGTCAAAGAGCTAATCTCCTATGACAAAAATAGAATAAGGTAATTTAAACTTCAGGCAGGGAAAAAGTTTAAATACATTATCTGCTATGCTAATCACACCACAAAACCATTTCTATAGCACAAAAATGACTTCTATTTTTATAGATGTGTGTATTTCACAAGCCACTTATATATATATTCGTGCACACTTTGGAGTCTACCAACCTCTGTTCTTCCCTCATTCTCCCTTACAAAGCCTCTGGTAGCTTCCTAACTGGAATCCCAGTTTCACAACTGCTAAAAGCACCATCCAAAGAGAATATAATTAGAATTACTAGAAGTGAAGGGTGGTGCATTTGCTCCTTTGCCTAATCTTTTAATGGCTTCCTTTGACTAAACAGGTGAAAAATCTAAGCTCCTTAGAACAGAACATAAGACCTCCACAATTGAACTCTCACATACTTCTTCAGAATCATCTGCTACCATTGCTGGCTTTGAACTTGAGTACACCATGTTATTTCAACTTTCTCTGATTTTGCAAATATTCTCCCTCTCCCCTGAGGGGGTTTATGGAGGCAGAAACCAGACCACAATGGTTTTAAGAATGAAGAAAAAAGGGGGTGGGGGGAGTAATTGTGGATCCTTCTTCCAAGTCTGGCTAATCCCTCTCTAAGGAGAGAGATTAGATGGAGAATAGAAATGTAGTGACTAAGAGGAGTCTTACTTTATTGAACTTTTCAATGCGAACTAAAATTTGAGGTGCTAAGTCTGAACATACATTTAAATTATAAAATTTGAGAGAATTGTCTCCTTTTTCCACAGCTATGGTTTGATTATAACTCTTCTACAGAAATAAGAGACAGTAAACTCTCCTAGGATTATGAATTGAACAAATAATGAAACTCAGAGGAACATTTTGATCTTAGAAAGAAGAAAGGAAGAGAAATAAAATATTATTCTTCAGTACACTATGATAAAATCAGACAAAGCACTCTCTGAAACCAGGGCTTAAATGGCCAGTAAAAACGTAGTGTCATACCTAACACTTCCAATAGGTGGCAGAAAAAAATCAAAGTTCATGAGAACAGTGTAAAGGGAACGTGTGTAAATAGTACTAAATAGTGCTAACTAAATAGTGCTAATTAGTGCTAAATAGTACTAACCAGTACTTTGTAACAAATATCATACCATAAAAAGGAAATAACAGTAATGGATTAAGATTCAATTTACTCATTTATTAACTATTTCAGGATTTTCCAATCTATGAGCCATACATAGGCCCTTGGGTAACTACAGAGGTGTAGTTTAATCCGTAAAACCATATAGAAGCAAACAAGGCTTCACAGACAACCATAGGAAGGTCTGGAAAGTTTGTTGGTGTAGACAGGAGACCCTCATATAAAAAAGACTGAGAACTCACTAGACCAACTCTATTAAATTGTGTGATAAATGATGGCAACATTAATGTGTGAGTTTGTTTTTACTTTCAGTGTGATATGGTACAGCAGTGCTGGAACTGGAACCAAGAAACCTAACATTCAGTTCATGATGTTCCCAACTGCAGAGTCTTGGACAAACAACAACTGTCTGTCCCTTTGATTCTAGACTTCAAAACTTAAAATTATCCTGTGCAAATTTTTCATGAGAAAAAATTAAGTTTATTATAAAATTTCAGAAGAGAAGGAAAAGTAGTTCATTATTCCGTAACAATGTGAAACAAATTCTGGGTGAAACATAATTCTGTAAACTGTAAGTGGGGATACCTGTCAGGCTCGGGCATATCCTGGTGCGTGACCTCGAAGACAAGGACAACTTACCTTCCTCCGTGGGAACCTGCTCCTCGGGCTCAGCATGTAGCTCAGACTCTTCTGGTGGGACTGGTGGCTCTGGAGCAGATCTTTCTTTAAGCCCTGCATTTTTTTATTCACAAAGTTAACTTGGAGGTTTTTTGGTGTGTGTGTGTGTGTGTGTGTGTGTGTGTGTGTGTGTGTGTGTGTGACATATTAAGGTAGGAAAAATAATATTCTCAAACAATTAATCAATGGAGCAAGTAATTCATAGATTCCAATATTACATGCTTAAAAACTGAAGTTGGAAAATAGTTTGCTCTTTAACTTTATGTGGGTCTTTAATATCTCTAAGTTAGCCTTTCACAAAATAAGACAAAAATCACTGCTAAAATTTTCATATATCTTTAAAATACAGTCATGCCTAAACTTGTCAGAAAAATTCAATATGGGTTCCTTTATAAGTGACGAATTCATTGCAAAGTCCTGAAGTTAAAATTCAACAATAAGACAACTAAAATGCATTTCAACTTTCTGTTATCTGGGTGCATTCCATGTTTTATTTATATTTAATTATTCACTCTTCTTTAAAAACAGAAAGAGTTTAAAATGAGAGGAAATCATCTATAACTCACTATTTACCATCTTCAAAATGTAACACCTACAATCTATATTATTCTATAATAGCTAAAATGTTTTAATAAGTCCTAAGGAAAGTAAGACAGCAGGGTAAATTAACATGAAAAAATGATTTCTAAAGTCAAGGCCAGCTTAAAATCTGTGAAACTAAGTTAGTTCCTTGATATTTTATATGTGAAACATTAAAATGATATTTCATATGTGAAACATTGAAATATATCCTCAGTTAAATGCAACTATTCAGAAAACTAAGTTAGGTTCTAGAGTCTGAAGACTGTTTACTGAATTCTGGCTCTTTAGGACCTTAATAAGAATCACCTACAAAGAGTAGTTATCAAGGTAATGGGCCATGCATAGTGAAGGCCTATAGTAGGAAGGTCAAGGTTGACCTGAGACAGCTTTCTACTCTTAAGCACCTCTGTACAGTTCTTCATATACACATGCTACCGTGGTCTGGAAGATTCTCACTTCATTGTTTTTCACTTTTCTTTTTAGATTCTTTATGACTTTCCTTTTCACTGCCCTTTCTATGTCTCTTCATTTTTCTCCTATTTAACAAAAACATACTCCCACATTCCTTTTCCCAAATCTTTCCCAGAGATTTCCCTGCCACATCACTTGTACTTCCTCTAGTTACTATTTCCAGTTCTCCTTCCACATAAAACCTACCATGAGGACACCTGACACCCACACATACATTTGTGTTCTACATCTCAGTGTCCTCTATAAGACAAATTCCAATGAAATCAAGCACAAATATCCACATGTCCTGATCATAGTTCAATTTCAGGGAGTATGGTTAGGGATAAAGGTCTAGTAAAAGACATCATCGCATTTCAAATTCAGATTCAGGGTTTGTCAGCCTTTTCCCATTTAAGTAATCCATTCTTACATCCCTCAACTGTTAATGGAACAGGTATGAAATTATTCATTGCCAAGTTCTGCTGAATGAGAAAACTTTAAGAATCTTTAGAATCAAGTAATTTACCACTGCACTCTCAGCACGTCAGCTAACACCCGCATACAGCAATTGCTCAATAAACATCTCCTGGAGAGCAAGGCTGCTTAGTAGCTCTCTAGAAGCTCAGCACTATAGAAGTAGGAAAGGGGACTTCCATCAATTTCTCTACTGTTATGTATCAGAGATCCTTCTCTCTGCTCTAACATTCACCATTCCAGTATCATGGGCCTAGTTTGCTTTGGAGTCGTCCCAGTTTACATCTGTGGTCCTGGAATAATTATTTCACTCTCAAAAGTATCTCACTTTGAATGAAAAATTACAGGCTCATCCTTCACTAACCCATAGGTAGGAAGTCCTCAAACTGTGCTCTATGAGTTAAAATAAGCAATACATTTTTTTCCCATCAAAAGATAAAGATTTAAACAGCCCGAATATCCCATTCTTAATAGATTTTGACAAAGGTTTCACTTAAAAAAAAAAGTTGAATGCTCTATGTTTGGAAACTATTAGTAAGTATACTAGTATTCAGACATACAGTGCTCCTATGAGTCAGCTTTCTCTAAATCAACTAGAACTTGTCTCTAAAATTAAAATTGTAAAATACATGAACAGCATAACAGGAGAAAGCAAAAGCATGTAAGAGCCAAAAATATGGAGCAGGGTTTTTTTCCTGTCCAAGTGGCAGTTGAATTGTAAACTTACTAATAACTGGCCCCAGCTATTTTCAGAAGTAAAATCAGCAAACACAAAAAAACAGTATCATAAACTTCAAAGAAGCAGAGGGTTATATTAATACATCTCCTCTAGACCCTTATAAACTTCCTAAAACATAACAAAACACATTCAAGACTAGAATTGCTTTAACGACCCATGTGGAAGAATTAGCCCAACAAGCTTTTATTCTGGTGTTTCCCAGAAATATTTTGCCTCCTAAACTCATTTTGGTTCTAAGATTTGAGGCAAAAAGAAAAAAGAGAGAGAGAGAGAGAGAGAGAGAGAAATAAATACATTTAAGATCAAGTCACAGTCAAAGGAAAGTTTTTCAAACTGGATTTATTATGAAGTACAAATGGCAAGGATGTAACACTGAAATAAATATTCAAAATTATGTTCTAAAATGAGATCTATCAGTGTTCATGTTCCTGGGGATGCATTTAACAAAACACCAACTTACAACAACTTGAATAAGAAGGAAATTTATTATCCAACTAACAAGAATTACAGAGGCAGGCTGGCTTGCTCTCAGCCCTAGCTTCATCCTCAGGCTGCCATCAGGGCAGCAAGCTTCTCTTTCAGACAAGACGACATCCAGAAGCAAAAGGACCACCTCTTGCTCTGCTTCTTTCTCAGGCTTCAGGAAATCTTCCCTAGATGCTCCCAGCAGTTTTCCCTTTCAGTTTTAGTAGTCAGAACTGGGACCTAAGTTGGCAAGAGGAACAGGATGACCACAGCTGCCTTCCAGTCACAACCCAGGGTTGAATGGATATTGTGAGTCAACCACAACGCCATGATGTGATTTGGAAAATAAATTAATTCCCTTAAAACATAACTCACTTGTAGTTCTTCAGCCTTATCCAATGAATTCAGAAATTTAAAAAATTTGCATTTAATAACTATAGAATAACCTCCTCCCAATTTTAATTAAAATTGGAGGAAGTTATAAAAAGTGAATGAAATCAGCACTTTAAATCAACCACTAACAGCAGCTTATAAATGACCCAAACACCTGAGCCCAGCATCAGCTTACTTTATTCATTGCTGTCTAAATACACTCAACTGTAATAGGAAGGAATCAATGTACTACTTTCTGTGTATATGTAACAATTGTAAACTTGCTAAATCCATATAACATTCATTTGCTCAACAAATTTTTTTAGCACCTATTAATGCAAGGCACTGTTCTACAGTAAATGAACACACAACGAACACCCCTACTTTCCAGAGGGAGAGTAATTTAAAAAACAAGAAACATTAACTGTTCAGAGCATAATAAATATGGACAGAAGTGTGGGGAAGACATGGGACAAGGAAGGGATTAGGGAGCATTTGGGGGGAACTATTTACAATAAATTGGCAAGAAAAGGACTCACTGAAAAACTTTTGAACAGGCTCCCAAAGGAATTCAGGGATGGGGCCATGTGAGTTACCCTGGGAAGAGTACACTAGGTAAAGGGAGCAGCAATGACGTTGCACTTAACGTTGGGGATACATTCTGAGAAATGTGTCATTAGGTGATTTTATCATTATGAGAACATCATAGAGTGTCCTTATACAAATTAGATGTACCCAGCCAATCTGGTTGAACCTATTGCTCTTGGGCTACAAACCTGTACACTGTGTAACTGTACTTAAATTCTGTGGGCGACTGAAACACAATGGTGAGTTTTTGTGCATCTAAACAGTGAAAAGGTACAGAAAACATATGATTACTATAATCTTATGGGACCACTGTTGGGTATACAGCCCATCATTAACAAAAACATTGTTTGCAGCACATGACTGCACAAAACTCGTCAGCTGGGAACATGTTTGGTGTAAGGAGAAGCAAGGTGGCTGATGGAGTGGGAGAAAAGTGTGCAAGGTTGTGAGTACCAGAAGGCTGTGCTCCGAGGGAACACGAAGGACATACTTCTTATAAAAGTGACAAGTAAAGCCAGGCTCGGTGGCTCAGCCTGTAATCCCGCGCCTTTGGGAGGCTGAGGTGAGTGGATTGCCTGAGCCTGCAGGTTCGAGACCTGCTTGGGCAGCAAGACCTCATCTCTACAATAAATCAAAAAATCGGCCAGGCGTGGTAGCGCATGCCTGTAATTCTGGCTACTTGGAAGGCGAGGTGGAAGGATCACCGGAGCCCAGCGGGTCGAGGCTGCGGTGGCCGGGAGCGGCCACTGCACTCCAGTCTGGGCGACAGAGTGAGACTCCAACTCAAAAAAAAAAAAAAAGTGACAAGTGGCCAGGTGTGGTGGCTCATGCCTGTAATCCCAGCACTTCGGGATGCCAAGGTGAGAGGACTCCCTGAGCCCAGGAGTTCAAGACCAGCTTGGGCTACATAGCAAGACCTCATCTCTACAATAAAATAAAAACAATTAGCCAGGTGTGTTGGCATGTGCCTGTAGTCACATCTACTTGGAAGGCTGAGGTGAAAGATCACCTGAGCCCAGCAGCTTGAGGCTATAGTAGTCATGATCATGCCACTGCCCTCCTGCCTAGGTAACAGACTGAGACTTCGACTCAAAAAAAAAAAAAAAAAGTTACAAGCAAGTTGCTCCCTTAGTAAACTCTGGGCGAGAATTTTCAATTTAGTACACTCTGGGAGAGAATTTTCAATTTATTCTGCTTCATAGGGTTTCACATACCTAACTCATAAAAAGTGAAAAAAGATAGTTTTTTAATCTTTAGTTTACTAATTCAGTGGCATATAGATTGATGAAAATTTTGGTCTTACCCATTCAAGTCACTCCAACTATGGTTATTAGTAAAGCGTTACGAGCTCAGGACTGCTATTGCTACAGCTGTAAGTAGTCTA